GAAGAGGATAAAACCCATCCAAGGTTATCACTCTCGATCTGAATGAACTTGTGATGCTTTTCAGAGCAAGTTTAAAACGCAGTATAGCTGAACTGCCGTCAGCTTGAATTCTGAGACATGAGGGAGCAACAGAAAGAGCAGCACTCACTCTCTTTGCCAATGTCAGAGCTAACAGCAGAGCTGTTTTTATGACAGAAATTTAAGTGAAACCTGATCTAAAGGCTCAAAAGGAGCTTTGATCAGAGTGTGCAGGACCATCATTAGGTCCCACCGTGAAGATAGTGGACATGACACAGGTCTGTGTCTCTGTACATCTTTCAGAAAACGCTTCATCAGCGGGTGGTTAAAAACTGTTTTGTCACCGAAACCCTCATGACAGGAAGAAATAGCTGCAGCACAAGTTTAAATTGTGCTGAACGCTAAATTTCTGTCCATCAGTTGCTGTAGAAATGACAGCACGCCACCTAGTGGACATGAGATGGCCTCCACGCCTTTCTCTGCGCACCTGCGCTGAAAAACTGTCCACTTGATGTGTACAGCATTGCGGTGGAAACGGCTCGTGTGCCCTGAAACATATGCACCACATCCTGTGGGAGGCTCATCTTTTTCTAAACTGATCAGTTCAGCGGCCAGACCCAAAGGTGCTGACCTATTGCTGGTTAAGTCCTGATCGCCCTTCCTGTCTGGAGGAGAGCCCCCCCCCCCACCCCCCCCCCACACACACACACACAGCAGTTTCCATAGCTGATCAGATATCAGTCGCTGCAGATTCGGGAACCACGGAGCGCTTATGCGCTCGGGAGCTACGAGGATGACTGACAATTCTTCCTCCCAGTCCTGGGTCCGTGATAGCAGCAGGACTGGAGGGAACACATAAAGGAGCATTTTTGACCATGGGCTGTGAGCGAAGACGTCCACTCCTAACAGTGGATCGTCTCGTGAGCTCAGTGAGAACCATAATTGACACTGGGAGTTCTCCCGTGTGGCGGACAGATCCACTGCTGCTCGGCCGAACCGGCTCCAAAAACCGAGAAATCAGCTCGGGATGGAGGCTCTAGTGTCTATGGCGGGGACTGCCCCTCGACATGATATCCGCTCGCCTGTTCAGGATGCTGGGAATGAACACTGCACTGATTGGGAGCTGGTCTTTGTGTGCCCAACACAACAGCTGTTTTGCGATGCGTAACAGTTGGGCTGAGCGCACACCTCCCTGATGGTTTATGTAAACTGTCGTCACTGTGTTGTCTGTGTGGATCAGAAAATGCTGATCCCGCAGCAGGGGGCAAAATGCTGAGTCACGTTTCAGACTGTGAAACATTCTAGTACATTTATGTGAAGACATGTGGTCCAGCCACTGTGCTCCCACTGCTTGGGACAGAAACAGTCCTCCCAACTTGACAGGAACATGTCTGTGAAAAACTGAGACATGTGACATAGGCCTGCTGATGGGAACTCCCTCTGACAGAACGAGGGGGTTTCCCCAGTGTTTCAGATCGGTTCTCACGGAGGGGGGCACAAAGATAATCTGCCTCTTCTGGCGCACAGGATCTATGCACAGGTGGGCGAACCATCTCTGAAGGCGTCTCATGTGAAGTAGGCCCAGCGGAACCACGATGTGGGCCGCTGACACCGTCTCAAGAGTTGCATGACAGGCAGAACTGTCACTACGCTGCTGGGTTTGACACAGCGGAACTGAACTTATAGAGCTTCTGCTCTCGGCTGTGATAAACGGGCTCTCATTGTAGTTTAGTTTAGCTCCACTCCCAGATAAACAATCATCTGGGATGAACTCTTCCCAGTTTATAGAAAACCCAGGTTTAGCAGGTGTAACACTAGCATTTGGTCTGCGCAGCTGCTTTCTGCCTGGACTGGTCTAATAAAAGCAGATCGTCCAGATAAAAAAGAATTCTCATTCCTGCCATGTGTAATGGCTGCAGAGCCGTCTCCACAAATTTTGAGAAGGTGCGTGGGGTGAGGGAATAACCGAACGGTAGCCTGTTGTACTGATACGGAATCCCCTGGAGGAGAAAAATGCAGGAATTTCCTGTGTTTCAGAAGGATGGAAATGTGAAATTATGCACCCTTCAGATCTATGGAGGTGAACCAGTCGTTCTGGTGAAGTTCTCCAGCAACTGTTTGTCAGCATGTAGAATTGTCTCTCCATGATCAAATTGTTGAACATGGACAGGTTGAGAATGGATCTCATCCCTCCGGTTGTTTTCAGAACCAGGAAGTAGTGGGAGGAAAAAAGACCCCGTATTTTCCTCTCCGTTGGGAACTCTGGAAATCATGTTTTTCATCAGAAATTCCTGAACTTCTGACTGGAGAGACGAGCTCTGTTCTGGAGAAGACAGGGCCATCTCTATAATTTCTCTTAACGGTGGGGGTTGAAAACACCTTTCGGTAAAACCCTCCACTCTGGAGATGGAGGCGAAGGTGGAGACTGATGTCTTCAGCTTGCCGGGCCCAGCTGCCCTCGTTCCAGTGTGATGTCACAGCTGGACAGCGAGGCCAGATGGGGTCAGAGCGACAAGCCAGGGCGGAGCCAACCTTGCCACCAGATCATCCAATCAGGGCGAAGGGAGGCGAGGGACAGAAATTCCGTTGTGTTAACATCCTCCTGGATTATGCTGGGCAGCTCCGAGAGGAGGGCGCAGACGGCTGGGAGCGGTGTGGTCGCCGACGTGGGAAGATCGAGTGGCTGAGCATCCGCTCGGCCGCTCGTCTTCCGTCACTACGTTCTCCAGGAGGGAGGGGGCAGCTCAGCATCACCTTTCTTGGAGGAGTCATTCGATTCACTGCGTGAATCTCCGTCACAGAAGGCGGTGGTGTCGTCCCGCCACAGAAAAAAACACTCAGCGGAGCTGCTGCCAACAACGCCTTTTTTCAAGGGAATCATCCGATTCACCGCAAGAAAAAAACACTTTAGAAAAGGTGGTGGCGTTGTCCAGCGAGTAGCGGCCCTCCACGGAAAAACATTCAGTGGGGCTGCTGCTAACATCGCCTTTTTCGAGGAAATCATTCGATTACCACGAGGAAAAAACACGTTAGAAAAGGCGATGGCATTGTCCAACGGGTAGCGGCTCGCCACAGAAAAGCACTCCTCGGCACTTACCTTGAACAAGGCTGCTCATCTGCTTCAACTTGGGGAGGAAGAGCTCACCAGGATGGCAGGAGGTTGGCGTGACGGAGACCCAGGCATCCTTAGCAAAGGTCGTGCTGGTCAAAGCTGGACAACTTTTTCCTTCTTCGTTCTTCTGACAGTGCTAGCTAGCTGGCTGAAGAAAAAATGGGAGCCGATTACCCGGGCTCACCGTAATTTATACGGACTGGGGATGAGGCCCACACAGTAGGTGGGCGCGGACCAAAGTTTTCAGTGCTGCGCACGAAGGGATAAACCCACTATCGATAGTCTTAAAGGGCGAAGCCTATACGAAATAGAACTTGCAGTTTACAATTTGAGACTTTTGCTGCTTTTTTACCCTCACAGATATTTCTCCTTTCACTGAGTATATCAAATAGTTTTTATTTGAACTCAAGTTCTGCTAAAAGGTATCATAATTTCATAATTATTTATCATAATTTCTTTAATGTTTAATATTAGTATTTTTTTACATGAAATTCCCTTTCCACTTACAGGTACTTGAATTTAAAAAGGCTTTTTAATTTTACTGGAACACAGCTTCTTCTTCTTTTATTTAAACAACATAAATTATCAGAACCTTTATTAATTTATTATTTTTCAACATTTTTAAGCAGAAGCCTTGATGACATGGACCAGCAGGGGAGAGGATCTTCATCCAAATCCCATCTGATCACCTAATGATGAAGATGATTACTGAATGTCTCTTTTTTTATGATCCACCACAACTTTTCATGTCTCAAAATGTTTGCTTAAAATTACAGATAGTATTTTTCCACTTTCTTCTGCCTCCTTTGGAAACTAGCCCAAATGTTTTAACTGAACCAGAAAAATCCTCCTGTGTAAATTTCTACATTTGAAACACTGATGCTGTGCGTTTTAACAAATCTTAACAACTTCTTCTGTGTAGTTTTAGTCATTCATAGATTCAGCTGATTCAAGCAATGGCTGCTATGGCCTTTGACTTTAAAAACTTTTATTCTTTTCAAAATATTAAACATCATTTAGACATACTTTTCCATGAAAAAACACATTTTTAGCTTCTTCCATTGTTATTTAAATCCGTTTCACCTTACCTTCATTTTTTTTTTTTTTGCTTTCTTATGCTGCTTTTAGTTTTTAACTATTATTCAGCCAAAGATCTGAGCTACCATTTTTCTGCTTTCAACTTTTAACAAGCGTTTACCTAATTTTAGCTTCCAGCTACTGTTTCAGCTTCCATTTGCAAGATGTAGATTTTAGCTAGTATTTTCCAAAGTTAAGCTAGCGTTTTGCTAGTTTTAGCTTTTAGCAAGCATTTTGCTGCTTTATGGTACCCCTATGCTACTTTTATTTTTTTTAGCTAAAATAATTTTTAGCTAACACTTTTTGAATTTTACTTTTAGCATCTAGCTTTGCTACTTTTAGTTTTAAATTAGCATTTTTGCTACATTTATCTTCTTTTATCTTTCAGCTAGAATGTTCTGCTCCACTACAGAGTTGTTCCTTTACACCTCAGGGCCACTGTAGATTTGAGTTCTTTAAGGGTTTTCTTTCAGCTCTTAGGGTCCTTCTTCTTTCAGCTTTAACAAGTCAGTTTTAGCTTCATCTACACTCAGTATTTCAAAATGTGTTTTCTCAGAAAATGCAGTTTCTCCTGATTATTTAATTAGTTCTTTACAAACACAATCAGGAGACACATTGATGGACTCATTGGTTAATTGCATTGCTCAAACTGAACCTTTGTGAAGTCACACAATTAAAAACAGGCTCTAAAAGATGAAAAAAAAACATGTAAGCATTTTAAAAGACTAATATACTGTACTTCATTAAAAATATTCTCAAATCTCTCTGGAAATTCCAAGTAAAAACATCCTACCTGTCCACAGAAACGGCAGCCAGTGTGAAGCTGCTGGCGTACATGGTGAGGTTGATGAAGAAGTGAACCACTTTGCACATGAACGAGCCGAACACCCAGCCCTCCAGGGAGTAGATGGTGGCTTGGAAAGGAACGCAGAAGATGATAAAGAAGAAGTCAGCCACGCTCAGGTTGAGGATGAACAGGTTGGTGGTGTTGTATCCGACCTGACCGCTCCGCAGCAGCACAGCCAGAACCAGGCTGTTGCCGATGGTGCCAAGCAGGAAGATGAGAGAGAAGACCACCGACACGATCACGCTGGTGGGGTTCAGCTGGTAGCTCTCAGACACATTCCCCTGCCCTCCTGCTCTGCTGAAATCCTCAAAATCAGACATTTTGTGCATCTGGAATAAAAAGAAACATCTGTGTCAAAGAAACGTGGACAGCTTGGAACCAAAATGATGTGAAATTTCATGGAATAGTGTGAATTCTCAACAAATTAAGATTAAAATATGTGTCGAGGACACACACACATATACATACATACACACATATCAACACACTGAAT